CCAACTTCAAAGATTAACAGGCGTCCTTTAATGACATTTATGCACAATATCAAAATGTCGTTGCTTTCTGCAGCGAAAATGTTTAAAATAAACCAGCTGAGGTTGGTGTTGGATTAAAAACCCACATGTTGTGTCACGCAGCGATCGTGATGTGTAAAGGCCTTTAATCATTATAGTTGCGGCGAGAATTTGACACTGGCTGGAAAAACCTAAGGATGCTGCATCCAACATCTGCAGAGAAACAATCTTCCAGTCAAATCTTACTGAGGATTAATGCAAAAAAATGACATTTTTCTGTATCCTGTAGTATGAATGTTTATTAGACTATAATACAAATAGAGTCAGAAGTGACATTAAGAGGTTTTTGGACACGGAATTAGCAGAGACAGGCCGCTGGGACACCTATCAATCAAAGCTACCACGGCCCTTACTTCCAAAATGTAAAAAAAGACTCTCCATACTACTTTTTTATAAAGAGATAAATTGGCTTAGAGGCCAATTTTTTGCATTGAAATGAGAGTAAATGGGGACTCTGACTTTTTGGACAACTGGGAGTTTCAACTGGCATGTCTGAAAATACCAAAGACAACGACAAATCAGTCCCGCTCTGTTAAGCTTTGAACATTGCATAAAAGAAACCAGTGCGTCACATATGATGACTATGTGTCCCTTTTTACATTCTTGTGCCTATTCATAATACAGTTGGTTTAATAGCTAGTGAGGACAGACACCTTCCACTATCGAAGTGCCAGTAAGAGACATACACACACATCCAAAAGTGAACCATTCAGGATTATAATATTAATAATATGAATGGAGACGGTAAGTAAATCTAGATATCCTCAGTTATTTAATGTTTCAGTGTCAGAGCTGTCTCATATTTTCTGGCAAACGTTGAATAATGGCATTTAAAATCAAAATAAATCAAATAAAGAAATGATTAACATTTGTTCATAACTGCAATGGGATAACTTGATTACTGCTTTTTTTTCCCCATAAAAGACAGACGAACACAGCTTGTGTTAAGAAGAGCGTCTCCATTTGTGACTTTACATCCATCACTTTTATAGTGATGGATGCATGGCTCCCTCTGATGGTCAGAGAGCAGAGCAGCTCAAAAGCTTAGTGACCTATGAACTTTTTTATGCTCAAAATGATGATGTATTAAGCAACAGTTGAGCTGTACACATGTAGAATATGACATCTGATGGTTTGCAGATATTGGAAGAACAAGCTTAATAAGTATATGTAATAAGACTGATTTGTGATGTATATTGATTGATAAGGTGCAGTGTAAATATTTCAGTGTGTGTATATAACATATCTCTGTATGTGTATTTGCTTAACAGCACTACACATGAATGAAATTGCAGTAAACTATATGACTTTTACTTACTGTACTTACTTTTATTTGAATTTTGCACCACGTTTTGAAAAGACAGACTAGTTTAACTAGTTTAACATCTGTGCAAAGGTGTGGCTGGAAACTGATTTTAGTGACTCATTTAGTTTTCACAGTTTTTCAAAGTGTGATGTTTCTCACAGCTACAGAAAACTAGAAAAAAGGAGAGCAGTTGCACTGGCATTCTTTTAAACCTCATTAAACATCAGTTCACTTGGTAGTGAGAGGTCCAGAGTTCCCTTTAAAGTGCAAAATAAAACCATAAAAAGAGTCATAAATAAACGAATGTGTAAAGAAAAGAAATAGAAAGGAAGGAAGTCCTGTTGATGAAAACCCCGAAGATTGAGCCAGCAACCTTCTGATGGTTGCTGACCTGCTGCTCTATCTGTCCACTTTTACAGTTCCCTATAAGCCTCTCTAAAAGCCTTATAGAGACCTCTGCTGCCCTCTGCAACGTATCATGACGTATTGAGCAACAGCACTATGGGAAGAGAAAAAATGTAATAAAACATCTGACATAAAATGTAAAAATGTGTGACATATTTATAAATATACTTTTTTAGTAACTGAAAGCACTCTATCAAGTGCAGTGTGTATGTGTTTGCATTAAGTCTGCATCACTCAGAATAGTAATCAACATAATTAGAATCACTTATTTGATTCAAACCAAAGAGTAACATTTTAAACAGCTAGACCTCTTTAACTCCCGTAATTGCAAAGCTGTTGCTGGAAAAGAAAAAAACGTCAACAGCTCGTGTACGTTTCACAGTTTTAAAGGTGTGATTTTTCATGCTGCTAGAAAAAATGACAAAGAGAGAATCGGAATACTTTTTAATTAATTTAATGTAAGTTCAGTTAATATTGAGGGTATAGGACTGCCCTTTAAAGATCAAAATAAAACCACAAAAAGAATCTAAAAAAAAAAGACTGCAATGATAAATGTCTGACAAAAGTTTGAGAAGACAGATACACAGGATGTGTTGTTACCACAAACCACAGACGGACTGCAAGGTGATGCATAAAGTAGTCGTCTGCCCCCCTAAACAACTGCATTTCTCAGGCACAATGCACACTCTGCAACTGCTTCTGCTCTTCCTAGCAATGATTTGTCTCCAACAAAATGGTAAGATTTCAGTATCTTATCTGTTTTTTTAAAACGTGTGAGATAATTGTTCTTCATTTTTTTTTTCGTTTCAGCAGCAAAGGGGAGTGAAATCATAAAAGGTAAAAAAGCCAAGAAGAGTTCAATGCTGTATATGGCATCAGTGCAAGACAGGATAAGACACGTATGTGGAGGATTCCTTGTCAGTGAAGACTTTGTATTGACTGCTGCACACTGTGATGATTGGTAAGTTACCAAGATCCTACAAGGAATCTGTTCATGACCTAAATATGAATATTTCTGCAGACTTCTTAATTATTATCAATGCAGGAAACCTAGAAATGTTGTTCTGGGCACCCACAATCTCAAGAAAGCTGAGAAGACCATGATATATCAAATAAAAAAGAAGTGCAAGCACCCTTCTTACAAGAATGTTAAATCTGGAAATGATATCATGCTTCTCAAAGTAAGTAAATAACTGTTTAACATCAGTATTCATCAACTCATTTATTACAGTATTATATGTTAATATGATATGTATGATATATTTGGAGATCTCAATCCATCAGCACTGAGTAATCAGAAAATTTGATTTTTGATTTTATGTATTTCTTTTTCTTTCTTTTTTTT